TTCTCCAGAAAAAGGACCATTGTATAGAATCAGGAGGGAGTCATCAGAAGATGCTATTGAGACATGCTGGGAATGGAATGGAATGGAATGGAATGCCCCCCACCTCCGGCCCCCTTCTGTATGTATATAAATGTGTGTGTGCCAGGCGCCTGGGTGGCTCAGTTGGTTGGGCGACTGCCTTCGGCTCAGGTCATGATCCTGGAGTCCCGGGATCGAGTCCTGTATCGGGCTCCCTGCTCGGCGGGGGTCTGCTTCTCCCTCTGACCCTCCTCCCTCTCATGCTCTCTGTCTCTCATTCTCTCTCTCTCAAATAAATAGATAAAATCTTAAAAAAAATATTAAAAAAAAAGATTTCCTCTTAAAAACTCTTAATCACTGATTTAAATAATTTATGATGTGCCTTGTTATAGTGTTTTTTATGTTTCTTATCTTGGGGCTCATAGAGCTTCTTGGATATGTGGATTTATAGTTTTCATCAAATTTGGAAAAATCTCACCCATTATTGTTTCAAATTTTTTTCTGCCCCCCCCCCATCTTTTATCTCCTTCAGGGACTCCACTTGCTAGTATATTAGACTTTTTGAAATTGTCCCATAGCTCACTGACACCTTTTTTTTTTAAACCTCTTTTCTCTGTTTTGGATAGTTTCTACTCTGTGGTTCAAGTTCACTAATCTTTTCTTCTGCTGTTAATCTGCCACTAATCCCATTCAATGTATTTTTTATCTCACACATTGTGGTTTTCAGCTCTAATTTTTTTTTAAAGATTTTATTTATTTATTTGACAGAGAAAGACACAGTGAGAGAGGGAACACAAGCAGGGGAAGTGGGCGAGGAAGAAGCAGGCCTCCCGTGGAGCAGGGAGCTGGATGCGATGCAGGGCTCGATCCCAGGACCTGGGATCTGAAGCAGACGCCCAACCACTGAGCCACCCAGGCACCCCTCTAATTTTTTTTTTTTTAAGTAGGCTCCACGCCCAACGTGGGACTTCAACTCACAACCCTGAGATTGAGTCGCATGCTCTACTGGCTGAGCCAGCCAGGTGCCCCTGTGGTTTTCATCTCTAGACATTTGACTTGGGTGTTTTCAGTATCTTTCATGTCTCTGTCTAACATTTTGAATATATAGAACACAATTATAATAATCACTTTAGTGTCCATATCTGCTTATTCTAACATTAGTGTAAGCTATGGGTTGGGTCCAATCAATTGATTTACTACTCATTATGAGTAATATTTTTCTGCTTCTTTGTTTTCCTGGTAATTTTTAAAAAAGATTTTATTTATTTATGTATTTATTTGAGAGAGTGAGAGAGAGGGTGTAGGGGGAGGAGGAGAGGGAGCGGGACAAGCAGACTCTGCGCTGAGTGTGGAGCCCAACATGAGGCTCAATCCCATGACCCTGAGATCATGACCTGAGCCAAAATCAGGACATGTTCAACTGACTAAGCCACCAGGTGCCCCTTTCCTGGTAATTTTTGATTGGACACCAGATCTGGTGATTTTTGCTTTATTGGTTGCTGAGTATTTTTATATTTCTATAAATATTCTTGAGCTTTGTTTGGAACCAGTGAAGTTATTTGATACTTTTGGGTTTTGCTTCTAAGATTTCTTAGAACCAGAGTTGTGCTAAATCTAGGGCTAATTATTCTTCATTTCTGAGGAAATGCCTTCTCTTTCCGATGCCCTGTGAATTCTGGGACTATCCAGTCTGACTGGTGGGAGCCAGCACTTTTCCCAGCCCTGTGTGAGCACCATTATTCTCCATCTCTTTGAACGGTTATTTCCCTTACCTTGGGTAGTTTCCTCAGACATATGTGCTTATTTTTGATTGGACCAGCACTCAGTTGAAAGCTAGAAGTGGACTCCCTGCAGGTATTTGTACCTCCCTCTGTGTGCTTCTTTTCTCTGGTACTCTGTGAACTCCTCTGTCTACCTTAGCAACAGATAGAGGGGTCCACCGTGAATAAAATACCAGCATTTCTAGCATCAATACGCTTGTCTCAGCAGAAAGGATTGTGAAAACTGAAGCAGAAAGGATTACTAAAGGGAAATCTGATTTTAGTCTGCTGAAAGTCTCTATCTAGCATTAAAAACAGTCATTTCCTTGAAAAGAATTATAGTCTGTGGGCTATGTTAATGTTCCTGGATGTCCATTATTCAATGAGCTCCTTGCTGTTGCCAGGTTATGTGTAATTGAGGTAATAATTGATGTTTGGTGGGGAGCAAACCTTGGTAGGTATAGATTGAAACTTTCAGAGTGAAAGAAAGGGCTGGTTAGGTAACTTGGTGACTCTTGATCTCTGCTATGGTTCCAGACATCTGGAGAGAAATCCCCCACAGTTTTGCATGACCTGCACCCCTGGGGATTCTGACTGGCAGGGTGGAGTGGTGATGGGAGGAGATGAATGTGGACCACGAGGAGGCTAGTGCCAGGTAACAGAAAGCCTGTTTCCTACCCACAGGAGCCTTTTTCATCCCCTACCTCATCTTCCTCTTTACCTGTGGCATTCCTGTCTTCCTCTTGGAGACAGCGCTGGGCCAGTACACCAGCCAGGGAGGCGTCACAGCCTGGAGGAAGATTTGCCCCATCTTTGAGGGTGAGTAGCCTTGTGCCTGCTTCCAGGGTATCTGCATACATGTTAACCTTATTTGGGATGACTGGGTGGTTTAGTAGCAGTGCTGATTGACATAAGACTCTGTGTCTTCATGTTAAACCCTCTATTTGTGGGCCCAATGCTGCACTAATCACCCAATCTATCAGAGAATGGAGAAGATAGGGATGAGGATGGGAAAAAAGTCTTCAGATTAAATAAGTAGAGTGCAAAGCTATTTTAGCTATGTATTTTACAAATGTATAACAATGACTTTGTATTTTTCAAAACATTTAATTAATTGCAAGACATTTAAAAAGAATTTTTTTTAAAGATTTTATTTATTTATTTGACAGAGAGAGAGAGAGACAGCGAGAGAGGGAACACAAGCAGGGGGAGTGGAAGAGGGAGAAGCAGGCTTCCCGCAGAGCTTGATCCCAGGACCCTGAAATCATGACCTGAGCCGAAGGCAGACGCTTAACGACTGAGCCACCCAGGCGCCCCAAAAAGAGAATTTTAAATGACAAGAAATATCAGTAATAATTCTACTGTCTTGACACAATAGCTATTTAAATTTTAGGGTGTTTTAATATTTCTTCAACATTTCTCTCTATATAGGATTTTCTTTGAGTTTCTATTTTAAAGTAATTATATATTCTTAGAAAATTGCAAAACTAGTACAGAGAGGTCACATGTACACTTCACCCAGTTTTGCCCAATGGTAACATCTTACTTAACTATAAAAAAATCATAACCTGGAAATTGATATTGGTACTATCCACAGACCTTATTCAGATTTCTCCCGTTTTCCATGCACTTATTTGTGTGTGCGTGTGTGTGTGTGTGTATAATTCTGTTATTTTATCGTGTGAAGATTTATATAACCATCACCACAATCAACGTACAGACTGTCACATTATCACAAAGATCTCTGTCATGCTACTCTTTTACTCGTTTGTAGTCACACCTGCCCCTCCCTGCCCATCCCTAGCCCCTGGCAACCACTAATTTGTTCACTATCTCTATAATTCTGTCATTTTGAGAATGTTATATAAATGGAATTGTATATAACCTTTCCAGATTAACTTTTTTTTTTATTACTTTCTAAATATCTACTTTTTGGATGTTTATTTTTAAAACTTTTAAAGGGAACACATGAAACCTCTATTTGACACTCTTCCTATATCTGATAGAAACAATGATAAGATTTTTAGGGATACATTAATCTTCTAAAATATTGGCATATATTACAGCTTTAACTTTTGTATTACTAAAACATTCATCCAGATTAACTTTTTTAGTCAGCACAATGCCCTTGAGATCCATCCAGGTTCTTGTATAAAGAGTTCATTCTTCTTTATTGCTGAGTAGTATTCCATGGTAGGGACATCCCACAGTTCATTTAACCATCACCCGCTGAAAAACATTTGTGTTGTTTCCAGTTTTGGGGATTCGTTTCACTCATTTTTTTTTTCCTCTGTATAGAGCTTACATATCTATTAATCTGGGATATACACAGTTTATGTCCCCACTTTCCAGTTAGTGTTATTTTCTTTCTTTCTTTCTTTCTTTCTTTCTTTCTTTCTTTCTTTCTTTCTTTCTTTCTTTCTTTCTTTCTTTCTTTCTCTCCCTCTCTCTTTCTTCCATTCTTTCTTTTTTTTAGAGACAGAGGGTGGGGGAGGGGCAGAGGGAGAGGGGGAGAGAGAATCTTAAACCGGCCCCAAGCCCAGTGCAGAGCCTGACGACTCGGGGCTCCATCTCATGATCCTGAGATCATGACCTGAGCCGAAATCAAGAGTCGGGACGCTTAACCGACTGAGCTACCCAGGCACCCTTATTTTCCATTTTCTACACAACAAGAATTTAACGATTGCATAAACTTCAATTGAATGGATATATCATAATTTACTTAACAGTTCTCTGTTTTGGGCTTTTTGCTTATTTTCAATTACTTATAAAATTGTTATATTCTGCTGTCATGTGTAATTGCTGAGATAGCTTTGCCCTTCTTTTTTGGGAATTATTTCTTTGGGATAAATTTCCAGGATTAGGATCGCTGGGTCAAATGGACAATCAAGTTGATGTCTCTTGATCTGGCTTATTAAGTTGTCCTATGCAAGTGTTATATTGACTTGCTATGTCATTATATTTGAGTAAGCATCTTTCCCCCATATCTTTCACAACTCTGGGTATTTGGGGTTCCCAAACTTGTCTGCACATTGGAGTCACCTGGGGACCTTCAAAATAACCTGAGGCTTGTGCCTAACCCCCAGAGATTGTGACTTAATTGGTCTCAGGTCTGGTTTGGGCTTTGAAATTTTAAAAATATTCCCAGGTAATTCTAATATGTGGACAAATTTAGAAACACTGAGTTACATCATTTGTAAAAAATTTCGCTATGGCTGTCTATGCAGAATGGTACTTCACCATTGTTTCCTTTTGCACACCTGCAATTATTAAGGAGGATCTAGTTGTATTTTCTCCTATGTGAATTGTCTATCCCTGCTCTTTTTTTTTTTTGCCAAGTAGGCTCTATGCCCAACGTGGGGTTCGAACTCACAACCCTGAGATCAAGAGTTGCATGCCCTATGGACTGAGCCAGCCAGGCGCCCCTGTTCCTGCCCTTAACATGTATTTTTATATTTCAAAAATACATCAACGTAATTCCAGAGAACATTAACTATTGGAATCTTCGAGTTAGTCTTATACATTTAAAAAATAACTTTAAATCGGTGAATTTTCAGAACTGATAAAGATGGAAGGACACAGGAAGCCAGAGTAGAGCACAATGGAAGGCAGGGAGAAAAGCCCCTCCTCACTTGCCAGGGAAGGAGACGAGAGAGCCGGGAACCTGGGCCCACCACTATCTTAGGGCTCTGATAGTGGAGTACAAGCCCCCTCCTAAACTGGGATGGGTGGCGTGTGAGAACTCTGTCCACTGTCCCTAGCCCAATTCTGCAGTTTTCCCTTGCAGGCATTGGCTATGCCTCCCAGATGATTGTCGTCCTCCTGAACATCTACTACATCATTGTCCTGGCCTGGGCCCTCTTCTACCTCTTTAGCAGCTTCACCGTCGACCTGCCCTGGGGAAGCTGCCACCATGAGTGGAATACAGGTAAGGTCATCCCTGGAGAGTCCATTTCCCCCTGCTGCTCTGCCACATTAACCAGGACTGGGATTAGCCGCATATCCCGGGCACCCATCCCCAACCTTAACTTGGGACATACTAGAAACCCGCCAAGTAGGTCACAGACAACTTGTATCAAAGATCAGCGTGAGAATTCACCAGCATCATGGGCGAGATGTCACAGACTTAAAAAAAAACTGTCAACTGTACTCAAAGTAAAAAAAATTAATGTATTCAGTTCGTAGATTGTAAATTCACATATTATGCAAACAGACTTGATTTCTTTTTAAGTAGTTTAGCCATTTATTTATTTCAATCTGAAGTCTGATCACGTTGGTGTATGTATGTATTGTTTGTCCATGATCTTTGTTCCTCACGTCTTCTTTTTTTTTAAATAAACTATTTTTTTATTATGTTATGTTAATCACCACACATTACGTCATTAGTTTTTGATGTAGTGTTCCATGATTCATTATTTGCATATAACACCCAGTGCTCCATTCAGTACATGCCCTCTTTAATACCCATCACCAGGCTAACCCAT